TGGCGGCATTATTGATTCGGAAAGGTTTTCAAATTTGAGTGATATTTAAGAAATTATTGTTTAAAGGTAGTTCAGAGTTGTAAAAAAATAGTTTGAAGAAAATAAAATTTTACATCACTACATTCATTTTACACTGATTAAAAGACCAAAAATAGGTCTTTGCCTTTAATAATTATTACTGAAGAAAGAAGTTCTAACAATCAGTTAAAACAGTTTTAATTTAAAACGTGTGTTAGTGCGTTTTTGTGTTATGCAGTGGAATATGCAGAATACAATTCAAAAAAACGGTTTATATTTTTGCATATAAAAATTTAATAACTCCATGTATAAAAATGCAAGCACTTTTGGTGTTTGAAAAAAATTTTAGCTACATAGTACAGGTCGCTTGCGATACAATCCTCACTTTAGAATCAAGCAAGCACTTGGCTAGCAACTTGAAAATAGATTACAAATCAATTATAAGTTTGGATGATAAATTTATCAGGCAAAAATCTCTTTGAAGCAAAAAATAATAAAGGTACAAAATTGGATACCTCCAGAATAAGATATAAATGCTTTATTTCACTATTATTAGTTATCATTTACAAACAAACATCACCATGATTATTGAATATTTTGGTTAGTTAGTTTTAGTGTTAAGTTTGACAGTATCATGTTGTTACATGAAATAGTGCATCGTTCGTATACAAGTAAATTTCTCTTCTTTTTCTATGAAGTACATCTTCATATTTACACCTGAAGTTTTAGTTTAGAACAGACGAGAACGCAAGAGATTCTACTTTCATACACATAACATTATTTACAGTTCAATGACTTACATTGAAATGGTTTATATTTTCTAATAAAAAGCCTTTACGTACTTGTTACCAATAGTCTATCATCTTATTTTTATCATGTTCTTTCACACAACCTTTCATAACCTTCCAAAATCTTTTGCGTAAGAGGCGACTAATATTCCAAAACTAATTTTTTCCAATATAATTTATAAGACGCCAGCATCAAGAAACTTGCAAGAGTAATTCATTCCCTTCCTCTAAAGATCAATTTGTTTTAGTCTCCACTCAAAATATGATGTAATTTAAAGGAAACGGTCAAGGCCGAAATCAACGCAGTGGTATAATTGGGGACGTAACTCAACATATTCATGAAAGTCTTGAGGCTGCAGATAATATTGAGTTCAAAGTACACTCTAAAAAATGCACAACAAGACAAGCAGGTACTTATACAATTCTTAAATTTTCTTAAGATTGTTGATTTGCTATTTAAACTAGAAAACATACCTAATTCTAATGTGTTGAAATTTAAAACTTCTAACATTCATTGCAAAGATTTTTATTAACATTTTCTTAACAACGTGTTTCTCTAAATCTCAATTGTTCTAATGTTTATTTGACGATATTTAATTTTCATAGAATGTCATATTGAAAGAGTTTTGTTTTCATTTTTGTTTTCGTTTTTGCTTTCATCTTCGTTTATGTTTTTTTTTTCTTTTTCTTGCAAAGATGATAGTTGGTTTTCTTCGATCTTTTAATGACTTTTATAATTTTATAAATTAATTTCAAAATAATAAAGTCAACATTAGTTGTCATTAACTTGACCTTTATGATAATGTTTTTGTGTACATGATTTAAAGTAATTGGAATAAATCGTTTAATAGTTTTACTTATTTTAATGTATTCTTTCTACTTTGTGTAATTAATACAGGCAGTCTAATAAATGAAACAAAATGCAAAAAGACTTGTCAATGTCTTAATGAGAACTTTGGACGATGGAAAAACAATACGTGGCAACCATTTTACTCAGGTAAACTTTAGCAAAAACATTTTTAAAAGTTTGAATAGCAATAGTAAAAAATGCCAGTTGCCTGAATGCAGTCTTAGAACGAGATATTCAAACTCTTGCATTTCCGAAATATGATCTGTTTGTTTCTGAATGCCATAAAAAATAAGCTTTGGGCAATTTAGACATGCTGGTGTTTCTTTAACATCGGCCATGTACAAAAAATTACCCTAAAATTAAAAAAAGAATGTTATCAAGTAAAAGATTTTAAATTTTAAATGACATTAATCTGTATGGTTTTTCTGAGATACCTTCTAGAGTCAACAATGTGTATTTTTCGTTAAATTAATAAGCGCAAGAGAACTTCAAAAACCTTAATCCAAGTACTACTGCAGATTGAAGCAATTTTTATATAGATATTGTAAAAATTAAAGGAGAATGCCAAAAAAGTTACACGACCTTTTTGTACAATATATTCACCTGGATCTTTGGGCCGTGAGGGAATTAGCTCAGTTGAACGCTTTCAATATCGTATTATGGATAATATAAAATAATAACTCCTCTCAATGCAATGATGAATCTATCCTATTACGATGTCTGCTCTCTGGAAAACGTTCTGCTTATCAGTGTTGTCTCTACTCGTGCTCTAATTATTTTATTGTTATGCTAATAAGTGAAATTGTTTTAGATTACTAGAGATTTAATTGCAACTTTTCTTTAGTTGATGAGACCATCGTCTTAGTTTGTACAATTTCTAGCCCATCATCTCGGATTCATTAATGTCACATGAGCAAAGAGAAAGGAAAACTTTGTCATATAAGGGGATTAGGAAATTTATATCAAAACAGAATATAACAAAACATTTTGTTTATTTTCTTCTTCTTTTAATTAATGGCATACACAATCGTTAAGTAAGCTAAAATTAGTACCGTAGTAAGGCTTGGTTTAAAAGAGTAAATGCTTTTTCGAACGCATATTCTCAACAAAAAGTTACATTCTTATGTGTGAGATTATTTAACGTCAAAGATATAGTTACAAAGTTCCAAACATATCTACGGTATTAATTTCCTAGCCCATAAAAGCTTTGACCTCACATCGGCATTGGGATGGGAAAAATCTTTGACGGCTGCTATTTTGTTCGGATCTGGCCGAATACAATTGAGAGGACAACATGACCCAATATACAACTCTAGAACGGGAAAATGAAAACTTAATGGGCTTTAGTTTGCTATCTAACGAATGGAACCTACCAAAAATATCGTTGATATGGATAAGATGATCATCAAATGAGCGTGAGTAGATAATAATATCCATCAAATAAACCAAATAAATTTGGTATTGGAGACATTGCACGACAGTATGCATTAAGCGTTGAAATGTGGATGATGGGTTTACTAACCCAAAAAGCAATGGAAAAAATGCATATAGGCCACTATGTGTTGCCAAAGCAGTTTTTGATTTTGAGCTGCCAAATAGCCGGACCACAGATCAAAGCAAGAAAAATACGAAGCTGCATGCAGACAGTCAAGGATGTTTGTTTTGTGCGGAATCGGATGAGAATGTCGTTGTTTGATCTTATTTAGCTTGCGGTAGTCCACACAGAAACGTTTTGTCCCATGTGCTTCAAGTGTAATATTTCTATTCATGACACTAACATCTTTGGTGCCATTAACATTTTCAATCTCGTCACAATTGTCTGCAATTTTTCCAACAGGAGAGTGGGAATTTTTATTAAAATTTGTGGAGTTATATTGCGATGGATGTACCTTCTTTCTCGACATTTCGCGTTAAATTGTTACTTCTTGGCTTCACGACCGTTTTGCTGTAAAGAAGAGTTCTTAGTTTCCCAACTGTGGCCAAAAAGGGTTGTTGTTGTGAGCATGATACTGATAATACTCAAAGGGAGGAACATCAGGCCAAATTTGTAAATCATATTGAGACACAAATAAATCACCCAGTAGGACGGATTGGAAAATTCTGATATAGACTATTGGGGTTGTATTTATCATCCATTCTACAGTTGTGAGCCTTATGAGCAACTATATGACAGTTGTTAAAATAGGTAATCTGGCCAACTGCTGTACGGTGGTTACGGCTAGAATGTATACCCAAATTTGACTGCATATACTACCTTGTCGGTATAAGTCATAAGCTAGCTTTGCCGAAAACTGGAGTTGTTCATCAACTCATGCAAATTGTACTACGTAAATATTTATCAAACATATCGTTGCATTTAACTAATCGTTGCTTTATTGCATGTGGATTGCATGTTACGTCATAGCCGCCATGTTGGTGGTCAAATATTTAGCATATTCACTTGAGCAAGTAAAACATCTGACACAGTCTTTTAGCTCGTCATAATGAAGCCATTTATAATCTTTGAACCAGGATGGATTAAAAGAACGATTCTATGATCCAAATCTACGTTGGGGTAACTTGAATTTTTTTTGGTAAATAGGCACTTAAACAGAAAAACGTCGTATTAACATTCTAATTAGTTATACAATCCTTTTAGATTTCATTTATTAAGGGCTTTGCAATTCTTCGAGACACTATACGTTAGTAAATTCACTATAAATATAAAGAGAACAAGAAAGAAAAACTGCAGGACATTTGACTTCTTCAGTAATTTTCATTATCAAAGCATGACTTTCAAAGCATGGGAGATATTCCCATGAAACAATTTAATAATAATATGTGAGTTTCTCTTTTACAGAAAGAAGACTAATTAATATAAGAACGTAGTCCATTTGTAAGAGACGAAATGCCTTTGATAATGTTGATACAGTGGAAAATCTAGTTTGTCACCATGGACAATTTATTTCTGTTATTGTATCTTTTTTGTGCAAACTAGATGATTGTTTTGAAGCGTTTGAATTGTGTTTAACGCTTCAACGAGGAATTTCACTATAATTTAAAATGAAATACAGGTATGATAAAAAGATTGCTTCATGGTTGGTTTGTTTTTTATAATTTTTCTTGCACTTGTTTGGAAGTACACTCGTAAGAAGTGCACTCATTCACTACGCTCACTAGTTTGTTTTAATACTTCTCAAATGGTGCATAAAATCGTAATAACTCACTAACCATGAAGTAATCTATTATTTTCGCACGTGCCAGCATATAGTATTATGGCACAAAGAAGAAAAATCTCATGACACTTGCATTTACCTCAATGCAATGATTTTGGTTTGATTCTGATGAACTTTGTTTATTTTAAGATGAATGGAATATCAATTTGGAAGTTTCTAAAACACGACCAAAAAAAGTCAACAAAGGATACCTGTTTATATATGGAGATTCTGTTTCTTTCCGCTTTTGGGGTTCTATTAAACGAAAAGATGTTTGTAGGTCTTCATTCAAAGCTTGCAGAGTTTTTCGCCAATGGATATATCCTATTGGAAACACTGAGTTTTAAAATGGACGACTACGACTTTCGTCCCAACATTGTCATATATTACATAAAAAAGGTTCTAGGAAGTGAACTAATAAAAAGAAAGGAAAACGTGTTTATGTTAAACTTTGGACTTCATTACGTACGAAGTGTTAATTTTACGACATTTAAAAAGCTTGTTGATGATGTAATAGTTGTGTTGCAGAACCGTACAAAGGAGCTCAAAACCAATGCAACATTTGTTTGGAAAACTACAACAGCAATCCGTCAAGGACTTAGACACAACACTGCCTGGAGGTTTTACACACAACAGGTAAAACTTTAGAGTCTCATAATATTTCTCTCAGTTAAAAAAGTGTTTATATACAAAAATATTACCATAAATAGATAGATTTTAAAAAATTGTTTGTTGCAGCTACAACGTGCATTGTTTTTATGTCATGAAAAGTAAATATTACACAATGTTTTTTCTTCTAATTTCAAATAGAAACACCCTCTATCATAAGGAAGACTATTAAAACAAACCAGCTTAGTGATTTTAAAATAAGAAAATTCAGAAAACTATACAAGCATCACTTATTATACCATGCTTGACACGGTGCTTGTATCTTGTCTATTTCTGTATCAATACACGTTTTTTTCAGTATAGTAGCGAATATTATGCATATAATAGATATATATAGTATGATAGTTTCTACCATTGTTAGTAGCTTCTGTATAAATATTCCAATGAAATATTGTTTGGAGCAAATGATGAGTTTATTTACAAAATAAATAGAGTGAAAAAATTAAAGTTTAAGATTAGAGTCAGTTTTGTTTATGCATGTGAAGTGCTTCGTCGAGAAAGCAATATCGGCAGTGCCAATAATTTGAAAATAAGAGGATAATTATGGAATAAAGGTTATGTTAAAAGGGTGTCGATAAACACATGAGTTTTTGTCACTTTTGGGGTTGTTTTCCGTTCGCGTGAATTACATCATCGCTCGCACGATCGAATAAGTATACCACTAGAGATTTAACAGAATGTGGAGTAGGATCTTTCGATGAAAGGCAATTTTCTGTTTGAATGAAGTAAAAATTAGTACGATGTTAATGTCATTGCAGAAATGCTTCATAATGTTTGTAAGTCTGTGTTGTGTGTGTCGCGAATGATGTTCGTAATTTTTTTGTGATGGTCGTTAAATGGGATGTTTTTATTTTAGCTTTGAACTTAATATTATTGTTGTCATGGAAATATATTTTGACTGTTTTATTGGTAAAGTAAAGCTAGAACGAGTTGTTTAATAAAATCAACGTGATGTTTCTTTTCCTGCTAAAAGCCGTTAATGGTGCTTTTAATAATGCTCTGTAACGGCAAGCCAAACACGTCAAAAGTGTTGTTTTAAAAAACGCTTGTTGACATCCAGTGTTTATGTCTTGAGATAAAGAAATTGATGTGCGAGAAAGAGAAAATTTGCTTTACGAAAAAGAATAATGGTCGAGTTCGTATCCAGTCCATTAAAAAAACACAAAAGTGCAAATGCTGCCATTTTCAAAATAAAATTCGATTTCAAAATAAAATTCAATGTTTAGGAAAACATTGTCCATTTTCTGAAAATGATGCTCACTTTAGTCTGTTTTATGAGGTAAATAAGCAATAAACGTGCTTTTGAAGGAGCATTTTAATTGTCATGAATATTTTTAAATAATTTTAATTACAGAATACACAAAAATAGCTATCACGCTACGTCCGAAATTATTGGCGTAGCTAGCAGTCATGCTGGTCATGCTCAGCATGACTAAAACTTTCCACAAAAATTATTTCAAACAAAACTTATTAGAGTCATTGTAGATTTATGATGACTGATTGTTTCTTTGAGATTAATTTATTAACATATAACATTTTGGAACGAAAATCAAATAAAGAATGGCTTTTGCGTCTTAATAAAGTATTCTACTAAGATTTATCTTGCTACCAGGTAAAAGCGTAAACTAAAACTTATTTTACACTTATAAGCGTAAATCGGTCATGCTATCAAAAATATTTTGTATTCTGATTGGATAAGAGCCTCTGAGCATGGTAAAACACGACATTTTACGTCATCCGGTTATGCAAATTATCAAAGGCATGACCAAACTTAATCCCGCAAGTAATTTTCTATATAAGTGATTTGCAGTTTGTGTACATTCAAAACATTACAAAACACTATCTTTATAATCTATCATATATTTCCATACTTATATATGCTGCCGAAGGAGATATCATATAAGGCCAGTGACATTGCTAGCCTTGCCTATTGTCCTCGGGATTTAATGTTTCTCTTCACGTCATTGACGATGAAGGGCGTGAACTGTCGCTAGGGGGCATGCTCCCTGAGGAAATGTTTGAATTTTGCTTTAGGAGGAGCGATTTCCAGCGATTTGGGAAAGGTCATTGAAAAATCGTAAGCATAAGTTTTCTCAAAAAAACCCATTTAATCTAAAATATAATCAAAAAATTTAAAATCGCACGCATCCCCGCATATTTTAGTTTGTATTATGTTACATATGAATATCAATATATGTGCTGTATGAGTAAAATGGCATCACAACGTGATCATGTATATGTTTTGAGGATTGTTTGTCGTTATCTAAGAGACTACATAGTTTCCATATAAAATACGCATGCATAAATGTCAATTTCCTTACTTTAAAACTCTTATTTCTTCACTTTGCCAATAACAGTAAAATGTTCACGAAGTAATATTTCGAATGACTTATCTCGCAATTTCCTTTGAAAAGGGACTCCGAGGAGAGAATTTTGAAAGCCGAGTTGTGTTGACAAGAGCATGGCCAAAAATTTTTTGCTAACAGTTTGGTCAACAACCACCAGTCAGCATCTGTTCATAAAGAGGTTTTTAGAGGTTTCAATCGACCAGCTTAGTTGCATTCTTCCAGAAGTTCAAATTCAATCACCTTCTATTCTTTAAAATGAAATTTCCAAGGAAGATTAACGAGAAATAATAAAGGAAAAAGACCTATGGGGCTAAGTGGGCCATTTCTATGCGATGTGTTTTATTAGGTAAGCAATAAGACAAGTTTGTCCCAACACAAGGTGTCGAGTATGGTTGTCTGCACATGGAAATGTTCTATCAGGACTTGAATTTCACAAAGAAGTGGTCAGCAGCCAAATTAAAAATTGCATGGTATTATGGTACATCATATATTCAAAGAAGGCCTTTTGTCAGACCAAAGCTGAAATCCTTGATTCACACAGCCTTTCTTTGTCATCTCCTGACGAAGTCACCTCGTACATGTGTAGTACTTCCTATCCTTAAAATTTGATACGTGTAGCAAAATCTAAATTTTTTGCTAAATTTTCTTTGTAGTTTTATGCACACTCAATATATTTTGTGCATTCCATGTTTACTTTCAAAATTTTTTTTGATATTGATATCAACAATAAACTCAACCCTGTTAAAAACCTTTGGGATCATGATTGCAATGTTGTACAAACTGGCACTCAACAATATACAAAACGCAATGCATAGAGGAGTAGTTATTAAAGAGCCCAAGAGTCCACAATCCTCACGATAACGAAAAAAGTCAATGTAAACAGCTGAATTAACCTATTCACTTCAGCCCATAGGCTTTCAATCCTTTCAATGTAAACGCTACTCGTGCAATGAAGCTCCCTCTGTTCAACCCACGCTGATAAACCATGTATTTTGCGACTTCCACATTTTCCATTCCACGATCTCTACGCATCCTCTTAGGAGAATCATACTATTCTACAACGCATTTAAAATATTCCAAGACTGATTGTTCTTTATTGTTGGTACAACATTGAAGGTTAATAGAGGCCCGACTAAAACCATCAATTTAGCCATGCATAACAATGCGCCAAGATATAAGTTTATGATTACAGTCGATGTGCCACAGGTTTTGGGGTTTTTACATTGTAAACTGTTTTGACAATTGGTTTTGCTGTCTTATAGCCCTTCGAACAGGGTCTACACGAATGAAAATCTCTCTAATTATAGCTCTTTGAATATTGATTCTTCTGCTTTTTAGAGCCCCTTAAATATAGGTTTCACGACTGTAAAGTGTTGATTATAACATATTATTTATAAGGCAGTCCAGAACATTGTCTTCCATAGATGCAAATGTCTCAGAAATATTCAACTCTAACCTAGAGTGATACAAAGTGCTGTCACGTATCCGTAGAGGTTCTGAAATCTCTCTGTATTTCGTCCCTAATTCATGGAGCTGCTATATTTGAGATGTTGCGATAGGTTATGCAGGTCTTAATCCGGTACATTGAGACACGCCCAGAATATGTTCAGTAAATTACGTGTTATCTAAAACGCTTCAATTGTCTCTAATTATATGCAGCTTTTTCTTTAAATGTGTCGACTAGTTGCCAAAGCAAATTTCTCAGCGTAAATTCCTCATCCGGTTCACGCAAATCAGAGCAAAATTCTACAATTATTCAAAGGCTGTCGCCAACTTTCCTCTCGCAGATTTCTAGCTGAATGGAATCTATAAATTTGTAGCTTTGTCAACTTTGTGGAAGATTTCAATTAAAGTACCAAAAAATTCTCTTAATTCGTCTTCGCCATCATCCATTTTGATTTATTGAACTAAAAAAGATGGAAATACATTAATCTTAGGTCAATGTTTTGATTATATTCTAACGGAGGTGGCAAAAAAATCAAAATTGTGGCATATGCAGTTCCATATTTTTTAATGGACTGCTTACGAATTCAATCTTCTTTTTTTTTGAGATAAGAAATTTTTTCTTGCCTTTCTCACACGTCAATTTTTTCGTCTCATACATCAATTTTTTGTCTCCCACATCAATTTCTTCATCTCAAGAAATAAACACTATATTTCAACAAGTGGTTTTATAAAACAACACTTTTGACCTGTTTGGCTTGCCATACTCTGTCTGTGAGTATGCGTAATAATCCAGTCCTGTAAAAGTGGTGAAAAACTGAAGTAGCTCAACAGTAGTCCTAGGTGGGTTGTGGCGTCCACGTTAAGCAGGTATCTTGTGATTTTGTTGATAAAATTGTTAAAAAAGCTAGTTTGTTTCAGTTTGTTTTGCAGCAACGGCACATTATAGCAAGCAGCTACATTTTCCGACAATTCTAACGTAACGGCGCATTACTGTAGCCTGCTTTACTGTCAGCTAGTTCTGCAACAACTGCACCTTACCACAATCAGTTTGGCTGTTTCCAATGTAAAGAACATTGTTTTTCTACTTGTGATCTGCAGCTTTTTGTTTACAGTGGCACCTTGCCACTAGATTTTATTTAGAACTAGCAAAGCTTGAACTTTTGAAAGTCTTGTGAAAGTTTTGTGAAAGTTCACTTTTATGTCGTTAATATGTCTTCATGTTAGGAAATCCTGCATAAAGAACTTAGACGACAATGACCCATGGTATTTCTTAAATAACTCAGCACTTTCTTTAAACAAGAGACTGATCTTTCAACAGATGCATTTCTTACTTACATATCATCATTCATCTTCATCAACTTTGCGAATTCACTAATACTAGATTGAAGATAGAACTCAAAACATATATTTCAGTAATTCTGCATATGAAATTTTTTTGAAAACTTTATCCCTAGATGAAAAGAAAAGCTGGCTGACGAGCATTGATGTATCAAAAAGATAAATATACATCTCCTTCGGTTGAAAAATTTTCTGAAGGACTTCATATGCTTTGTAAATCACTTTGGGTTTCAGGCAATTGCCGTTTGTCGGGTAAAGGTGTTTCTGTCTGCAGTTACATTTCTGTAGGGAGTTGTGATTGTTCTGGGTTGTTTCTGGGTTAAGTCTTTTTAAAATAGTCTTGTTGTGTCTGGTTGTGTCTGGTTATAGTCTTGTTGTTTTCTGGTTATGAAAACTTTCATAACGTACAGAATACGCCAATTTAAACTTTTTTTTGTTTGAGCACGGCAATTGTGTAATATTTGACGGAAATTCTGCACTAATATACAATAAAACATTATTACTCTGGAATCGACAGAGCAACAACGAAAGTTTTGGCCTTGTTCTTTCAAATATGTGTTAAAATATTTTACTTTGGTAATAACCTAAGAGATAGGTGAAACTAACCATAAATTTAGGTTATAACAATTAGAAATATGTAAATTTAACCATCAGTTATACATTGTAACTAAATTGTTATAGATAGTGGTGTACGTGATTTTTGCTTCTAGGAACTATATGAGACAACTTGATAGGACTTTTCACAGACTATATCTGTGTTTGAATGGCATTTTGTGAAGCAAAGTTTATGTTCGTAGGCATGCCAATGAGCTTTGACATTTGGCCAAAAAAGTCAAGCACTGTACACTTCGTTGTTTTCAAAAACATGTTAGCAAAATGCATTGTTCTTACACAAAAGTGATAATAAAATTAGACAATTGCCATTCCTCTAAAAGGCTAAAAGTGCATTTCTGAAGCATTGAAAATTAAAATTTTTCTAGGGAGTCTTAGGACCCTTTTACAAGGTGAACCCTCATCCGTTCCATAACTGATGCAATGTGATTGAACCACGCTGCTGCAATAAAAGATACAAGGTTTTTTCAACTCGTAAACCTGATCCGAGAGTGGTCTCGTTTATAACATAAAGTACACAGATCCTAAATAAGCTTTTGAAATTACTAATCAAGTTGCTACTTTATACTTTATGGTTAGAAGTGAAGTGTGCAGTACTACTATTAATGGTCTTTATGTAAAACTAAGCTATGATTCTGCGTAAATTAATATATAAATTTACGCTTTTTTTAAGTTAGTTGTTTAATCAACCCCAATCCGTCTTTGAGCTTTTCTTACAAATTGTAAATTTGGTTTAATTTTAGAGATTAACGCTTTTCGACGCGTACGCCATGTCAGAAATGTGTAAAGCTGGTTTCTACGTAGCTGACGTGTTTCCACTGAGTGCATCATATTTACCTGGACCATTTGATTCTACTCATTACCGTGACAATGTGTTTGAGTCGTTGGGAAGAGATTTAGAGCTTTTTTCGATTGCTGGTTTGGATTATCAACCAACAAGGGTGTGCATTGAATAAGACTTTCTCACAAGTACAGACAATCAAACGTATTTTTCTTAAATTTATACATGTTCTATCTTACAACTAATACTAGTGCTTATTAAAATGTATCAATTGATACCGTGCAAGTGCACATATCTTTTTGATTAATACAAAATAACTAGTGCAAAAAGAGTAGTTTCTTAAATGTTCAAAACGCAAACATTTTGTGTTAAAAAATATAATGATTGAATCATGATTTTGTAAGAGCAAAATAGTTATAAAACATTTAAAATACATGACAAATTTCTTAAGAACAAAAATATTTCGGCATACTTTATGCCATCTTCAGTCGAAGTGAATCAATATAGGAAGTTTACACGATAATATATGTATTAATAAAGCGGAAGTATTAAATAGTTATCAATAATTATTTACAATTGAGTAGAGTGTTATAAAATGTTTGTGTTAGGCTTATTAAAAGAAAAAAAAACTTCAAAGAAAATGGATAATAAATGATAAAGTAATAAATGCTATTTACCAGTCGAAGACAATGTTAAAATGCTGCATTTGTTTGTTGAGGTTAGGTTTAAGTTTCTTGATGTAAGGGGCTTCTTTGAGTTTAAGAGCGAAAGGAGTGTGAGCGAGTAGTCTCCCACCTTTCACACTGATTAAAGAACATAGAACCACGGAGTCACACATAATCACCACACTGCAAAAATAATCACACACAATCCTGCTTCCGTATCTTAGACACCGCTCAAACTCATTTTGCCCTTAAACTCAAAGAAGGCCTTTATATCAAGAAACGTAAAAATAACCTCTAGAAACAAATGAGCATTTTAACATTGTCTTCGATTTGTAAAAAACAATTATTACTTTGTCAGTTATTATCCATACATTTTCTTCGTACTTTTTTCGTTTCTTTTATAAAACCTGACACAAACAATTTATAGCACTTTACTCAACTGTAAATAATTATTCATAACGATTCGATACTTCCGCTCTATTACTATATACAAATTATGATGTAAACTTTTATATACATTAATTTCGCCCTGAAGATGGCATAAAGTATTCCGAAACATGTTTGATCCAAAGAAATCTGTTTGAATTGTGCATTGAAATTAAACGAAAAATTTTTTTTATTGTTATAAAGAAGTTTTGACTAACATTAAGTCATCAGTAGATAACGTGCAGCCTTGTAACACTTTGTCACGGAGCTCTAAAAAATGTCAGTTAGTTTCCAGACTTCCGAAGTTAATCGGAGGGCGCAGTTTTAAACCGGAAACAAGGTAATTGAACGAGACTTGTCGCTGGATAACATATTTAATCAGAAACACGTCAAAGTTAAAAGATGCATGCTATTGTCAAAGTAACTTTATAGTTCAATTTCCTTTTTCATTCTAAGGTAAAACAACCGATAAATAACGAGGTAAAAGACATTTTCAAGGTTAGCGCAGTCATATTGCAGGGGGTGCAAAAACAATGGGCCGAGCGCACTGTCACCCATGGCGCCCATATAAATTACTAATAAATGTGCAAAATTTAACCTTATACATACAGGCCATTTCTTTTAAAAATATTTCTAAACAAGTCAATTTTAATATTCAAATTATTAATTGCGATTTTTATACGTTTGAGTCCAATTTTGTGGTAGTCAAATAGCGGAAAATTTAAGAAAATATTTGTTTTCTTTCAACAACGTGACCGTCATGACTGTTTTGAGTTCGCAAATATACAGAACTCATAAGCCAAGTCAAACAAGCTAACCACTTAATTACCCAAGTAGCCGCAAGCAAAGGTAAATGATGCACGTTGTGCAGTTGGATGGTGCGATACTGATAAACTCTATCCTGATTATCAAGTTAAGAGGTCCCACGTAGAAAAGTTAGTTTTTCATACAAGTGTCCCAAAGAGCAAGCACTTGATGAAATTTGGCGAAAACAAGTTGCAAACAGCATAGCCGATAATGTTAAAGTGCCTACATTATGAATTTTAGCCCCTCCCCTTTTTATGATCTTAATTGAAAATTTGGATTATTTGAAGAACTATGATATGTCGTTGGACTTAAACAGATAAATATAAGTTCCTTAACTTTGCCTCCAAATTCGGGTATTATTTGCAATTTTTTTACAACGCCATATTGATAATTGTGACGTAGATAGTTGAGCAAGTCTGTTTTTATTAATGTAATATTATATTATGGGAGGTGATTTTGTTGTCGTTTTTCTTGTCTTAAAAACAAATAATGACAGTATTTTCAATAAAATATTAAAAAACAAGTTTTTCGATAAGTATGGCCTCAAATCAGTGCTCAGATAATTCGAATTCGACATCTGAATGCGTATCTGATTCGAGCTCGGAATCGGTGGGTTATGTCAAGCATTTAAAAGACTTCACATACGACGATGAACCGCTTGCAGGAGATGGTGATGAAGTGCATACTCCAGATGATCCCGATGTAATTCTCCCTGCGACATTAAAACAACGAAGTGATGGCGTAATTCCACTCAGTGAATGGTAAGTTGTTGTTTTCTCCTGTTAGTAATATACATAAAGTTACTTTATAAACCACAATGCTCCCACGTTTCAGGTGTAATTGTCAATGCTGTCATACCAATTTGTTAGAAGGCGCATTAGAGTACAGATGCTGTAAGGTAATAGGACTAGCTTTGCAGAAAATGACATTCGATGGCATCATTGAGAAAATATCATGCATAACACAGCATGCCAAATTTGGGCCATTTGTTCATGAAAACTGTCCTTGAAAAGATCGTGCTGTCCTTGAAAACATCGGGCCACTATTGAGGTATAGGAATGGACGTGCTTATCGCCGCCAAGCCTCGCAATCATTAAATATGAATGATTGTAAATTGTATCAGAAACAATGTTATAATCAACATTGCTTCACCAACAATAAATAGTCCAACATTTTGTTAACATGATACAATATAACATAAAGTATTTAATTTGTAAAGTTAATGTTATTTCAGTTCTTTAGTTATAGATCAGTGGACACGTGACAATCGTACGATCTTACATACTTCGTGTGCATGTACATATATATTTTGTTGTTGTAAAATCAATTTTTTCTTCTTTGAATAAAGCTCATAATCTAAAGGTTATGGGCCCAGGAAGCTCAGAAGTAGCCCAGATAGCCCAGGATAGCCCATAAATAGCTCAGCAATAGCACAGAAATAGTACAAGACCGTATTTATGGATAGTCAAACAATAAAGTGGCTTGTATTCGATGGAACAGCCGAGAACTATCCGGCATGGAGCACAAAGTTTACTGCTTATTTGCAAACGAAAGGTTTGTACAAAGCTCTCATTGGGAGAGAAGTCATACCTCAAGAAGTTACACCGTTAACAGTCGACGCTACAAGTGAGCAAAGGGCCGAATGGGAAACAAAAGTACGGGAGAGAAATCAACAAATTGATGAAATCAAAGAAAGAAACAACACAGTATGGTGTCATATTGCATTAGCTCTTGACAACAACAGCCTTTTATACATACGACATGACTGTTTGTCGCCAGATGGTGTTGGAGACGGAGTAAAAGCGTGGCGTCTACTGCAACAAAGATTTTCTAACGTAGAAAAACCAACTGTAATAAGTCTAGTTCGACAAATATCTTGATTACAATTAGGTGAAAGTGAAAATTTATCCGAATATTTCATACGATCACAAGAATTAATGTCTCGAATCACTGAAGCCGGAGAAAATATATCAGAAACATTATTTAATGCTCGTGTCATTAATGGACTTCCAGAAAAATTTGAACACTTCGTGGTTCGAGAAAGTTTCAACCCAGCAGCTAACTTCTCAGAACTGAGACTCGTTTACAGAATTACGAGGATAGTCGGATTCAAAGAAAGCAAGAAGAAGATAGCGCAATAGCAATGCATTCTGGAAATGCATCAGGCAAAAACAAAGCCCCAATCAAGCAAAAAGGAACTTGTTATGTTTATGGACTCCCTGGTCATTTTGCCAAGCAATGTAGTAAAAGAAGTTCAGCTTTCTGTTCATAGTGCAAGAAAAAGGAACATCTATCAAGAGCATGTAGGAGTCAGAATAAAACCGAAGAACCTTCAACAAGAGTACCAAATTCGTTCTCATCATACTCTCAATGCATGAACAGTGGCACTGGAATAAATAGTGACAGTAGAAGATTGAATTATATCATCATTGATACCGGTTGCACAGATCACATCATTACAAAAAAAGGAACTATTCGACAACTTAAAACCATGCAATACTAAAAATGTTAAGGATCCAAAGGGAAAATTAACACCTATCGAAGGTATTGGTGACGTACCAGTAAAGCTTTTATTGAACGATGGAGAAGAAGTAGAGATGGTACTGCGAAACGTCCTTTATGTGCCAAATTATGAAGTCAACCGAGCTCTCAAATTTGGACATAAGTTCGTATTCAAAGAGAGTGAAGCAAAGTTGATGTTAAATCATGGTCCAGAAATTGCTCTAAACAAAAATGCAGGTTTATTTTATCTGGAGATCATATTCCAAAAATCCAGTTCCTGTAATTCCATTACAAGCAACCAGAATAAAAGATAAATGAAAGGAGATTTTCAACTGTGGCATCAACGCCTCGGACATTTGAACAAAGATGATGTCAAACGCACAGTTTACTGCGAAGACAAATTAAAGAAAGTGTGTGTAACATGCGCACTTGGAAAGCAATCATGCAAACCTGTACCTAAAGAAGCGCACAATAAGTCCCAGAAACCACTCGAACTGGTATACACAAATATTCTTGGTCCATTTGAAGTGCCTAGCCTCAGTGGATGCAGATATGCAATTACCTTTGTGGACGAATACTCGAAGTACGCAGTCGTTAAATTCATGAGCAAGAAAGCACAAGCGTTTGAAAAATTTAAAGAGTACGTAGCAGAATCAGGATTACCTCGAAAATTGAGAAGCGACAATGGAGCAGAGTATACATCGAAGCAATTCAAAGCTTACTGCATAGAATCAAAAATAAAGCAGGAATTTACAGTACCTGAAACCCCGCAACAAAATGGAGTTGCCGAACGCTATAATGGAACTCTAGTTGAAATGGGACGATGTCTATTAATCCAAGCACAGTTACCAAAACGTTATTGGGTAAGAGCCTTATCAACAGCATCTCATATCAGAAATCTCACCGTTACTGCCAACAGCGAACAAGGTAAAAGTCCTTTGAGCTATTCACCGAAAAACCCCAAGATTAAATCATCTACGCACTTTTGGCTGCTCAGCATACGTCATGAAAAGGAAGATCAACCTAAAGAAATTGGATTCAAGATCTGTGAAAGCAAAATTTATTGGTTACGATGACAAAAGCACGGCTTACATTCTGCAAGAATTCGAATCAATGAAAGTCATCAAAGCACGCAATGTTGTCTTCAAAGAAAGTGAAATTCAACCTTTTTCAGCAAAAGATACGACAAATCCAGAACAACCAAATCTTATGAGCCCCAACATGGATTTCGACGACGATCGTTCGAAAGATGAGAAAACAAAAGAACCGATTAAAGATGAAGTGGGGGAAAATAATGCACCGATACCTGCTGTTCAACATCAGCAAGAAGATGAAGAAAATCCAGAGGAAGAAATCTCGCTTCCTAGAGAAAGCAGAAATCGGCGGCCACCAGAAAGGTATGGATTATACAATACGTTCAACAAAACTAATGAAGAAAGTGTGCAAGAACCCAAGTCTTATCATGAAGCAATTAATACACCACACGCTGAAAACTGGAGAAAAGCGATGAAAGCAGAATATGATTCACTAATGGACAATAACACATGGACAATAGTGAACGAACCAGAGAATGTGCAAGTCTTACCAGGAAAATGGGTATATAAAGTAAAGTATGGAGCAGATAATCAAATCGACAAATTTAAAGCAAGATATGTAGCCAAGGGTTATGCTTAAGTCGAAGGCTTAGACTTTTTCGATACTTACGCTCAAACATGTAAACCCGAAACTTTTCGAATCCTGCTCGCAATGACAGCACAAAAAGGTCTACATATTGACCAGATGGATGTTAAATCAGCATACCTTCACACCAACATATAAGAAGAAATTTATCTAGAACAACCAGAAGGTTTTACCAAGAAAGCAAAATCAGGACGAAAGCAAGTTTGCAAGCTAAACAAATCAATCTATGGATTGAAACAAGCGGCAAAGAATTGGTATGAAGCACTGGCTAGTCTACTTATTAAAGAAAAATTCAAACGTAGCTGCAACGATTATTGTTTATTTGTGAGAAAAGAAGAAGATGGAACATCCTCATACGTATTAGTTTGGGTAGACGATATTATAGTGGCTGGTACTAGTGAAAAAGCAGTTAATCATATCAAAGCAATGTTAAGCAAAAATTTTAAGATGGACGACCGTGGCACACTGCACTGGTTCTTAGGAATGCGAATTCTACGATCTCACGACAAGATTACCGTTGACCAAAAGAAATACATCGAATCTGTTCTTCAACAATTCAATATGAGTGATTGTAAAGCAGCAGCAACGCCTGGAGAAGTAAATCTGAAACTAATCAAAAGCAACGACGATCAGAAGTTAGTCGATGCGAAGTTATATAGAAGTTTAGTTGGTTCATTACTATTTATTGGTGAACAAACCCGTCCAGATATCCTTCACATTGCTAATCTGCTATCAAGATTCCTAGATAAACCAGACATTTCACATTGGAAAGCAGCAAAGCACGTATTAAGATATCTTAAAGGAACTATCGATTTACAATTAACATTCTTGAAGAATTCCAATCTCGATATCGTTGGTGATTCAGACGCAGATTGGAGTGGTGATCTCAATGATCGCAAATCAACTACAGGATATTACTTCAAATTTGAAGGGAACGGAGGTGCAATCAGCTGGGAAGTGAAGAAGCAGGCAACTGTAGCACTTTCGTCAACCGAAGCCGAATATCAAGCTATGGCGGCAGCTGTACAAGAAGCAATATACCTACGAGCACTAATGAAAGATTTAGGTTATCCAATGAAGAAACCAACCAACATTGGAGAAGATAACAATCTTGTATAAAGATGTGTCACAATCCCGTAATGCATAAACGATCAAAGCACATTGATACGAAACTACATTTCATTCGAGAAAGAGTACAAAGCAAGGAAATAAAGATCAGTTACGTTCCAACCGAAGAAATGACAGCAGACATTCTTACAAAGTCATTATCTCGTGTCAAAGTAGAAAAACATCGAGCAACACTTTTAGGGATTTAGTTAACCACATAGCAGACTCATCATGAGCAAGCTGAGTCTGAGTGGGGGTGTTAACATGATACAATATAACATAAAGTATTTAATTTGTAAAGTTAATGTTATTTCAGCTCTTTAGTTATAGTTCAGTGGACACGTGACAATCGTACGATCTTACATACTTCTTCCTGTGCATGTACATATATATATTGTTGTTGTAAAATCAATACTTACCGTCTTTGAATAAAGTTCATAATCTAACAAATCATACCATAAATAGATGAAATGAAAGGAAGTACAATTTTTGATATCAAATTCGAGTAGTATATAAGAGCATGCTCGTTAAAAATTTCTTTATTATAAAGAAAAAATGGAAACAAACGTGTCATATGAAATTTTTTTACTTTTTCATTTGAAAGATAAAAGAAACAAAATTCGTTTTCAGCAGTTTATAAAGAAAAATAAAGAAATAAATTTAAAAACA